CTTTTAAAAAACACGTCATTAGTGAATTCGTAATAATTTTACAAACTTCGTACATTCTATTAGATGGTGTGATATTAACCTGTATAACTAGTGTTCACTCCTTTTACCTACTGTTTACCTATTTAGATAATATTTTCTGATATACAGATGACTTAGACGAATCTAGAGATTTAAAGATTAATCTAAAGATTTAGAGATTTAAAATTAAACATCGAGTAATGTAACAGGAGCAAAGAATCTCAGTTTTATAAAAAATATGCTATAACATCACTAATGTTTAACAAGTTTTAGCTTAATTTACTGAGAGGAAAAATTAAACAAATTACCATCTTAAACAAAACTTCAAACTGTCGTTTCCACAAAGTTTTCTCCATGAAATTGCATTTTATCTTTCTTTACGAATTTAAAATGTTTGAACACAATTTTCTGAGTTTCAGTTTTCTAAGATGCCTTTGCAATTTGCTAGAATGTAAGAATAAATAATGAAGGTTTAAGTCGCCAGCGATGAACACAAAAGATGCATCAAACACTCCAGCGTGTTTATGGATAAATGGTGAAATGGACCATGTCGTTTACTTTTATAGCTTAGCATACTTCCTCAACGAGGTTGAATTTCATCTTATTAAATTAAACTCATTTCTTGACGAAGTTTTGGAAATTCAATAAAATATTTTATGATCTGAATGCAGCTGCGTAAAATGAAAAGCAAGCTTAAATTCTTTAATGTTAACATACAGTTTTGTTAATAATGTTCAGTCGTCGTTCTCTTCGAAATTTCATTTCACAAACTGATTCACCTACACACGTAAAGGAACCCTTTTTTTTTGCAACGAAATAATTAATTTTACGTGTGAGAAAGGACTGTTATTGTTTGTTGAATTTTGGCAGAGCTACTAGATGTCTATCTGCACTCGCCGTCCCTAAATTTATTAATTATGATCCTACCATTATAATTAACATAAATAAAAAAGAGCATAGGCCCAAGTTCTGACCCCTTGAGGTATTCCACCATTACAAGGGTCCAATGTGATTGGGCTCCATTAATAATGAGCTTTTGCCTTCTCCCATACAATCACATTGATATGCACTTAGCCACTCTTTTCTTAACCCCCTACCTTAGCTTATGTTTTGTATAGTGCTTTAACAAAACTTTTTGAAATTCTTAGTACACTAAATCCACACCATTTCGTTTGTTCAGATAACAAGTAACGTTCTAGAGACAAAATAACAGACTAGCATGCCAAGCATTTATTGGATGAATCCATATTGGCTTTTATTTATGATATCACATTTCACTAAAACATTTTATAAATCTTCTTTAATCATATTCTATAGAATATTACACAACTAAAAAGACTATCTTGTCTGTAACTACCACGAGAACTTATCAACCCTTTTAAAGATAGGAGTAACATAAGCCAGTGGTTTCCTGGGGGGTGTACGGAAAATTTTCTGGCAGAATGCGAAAATCTTTAAAAATATTAAAAAGAACATAAACACTACACTTCAAAGATGGATGGCAATCTCAGCGAGCTACCTACGTATTCCACTAGTTCTCAAGGTTTTCGTACTGATGACTCATATTGAAATTAGTTCTCAAGGTTCTCGTACTGTTGACTCATATTGGAATTAGTTCTCAAGGTTATCGTACTGTTGACTCATATTGGAATTATTTCTCAAGGTTCTCGTACTGTTGACTCATATTGGAATTATTTCTCAAGGTTCTCGTACTGTTGACTCATATTGGAATTATTTCTCAATGTTCTCGTACTGTTGACTCATATTGGAATTATTTCTTCTGAATAATCTATTTATTAATATAATCTACTCCCAAGCTCTTGTTTTTTAACAAACTATAAGCGCCAGGGGTACACTGCTGGTTCAAAGGTCTGACTGGAGGTACGCGGCTTAAAAAGGTTAGGAACCATTGACGTAAGCAATTTTTCCATCTTCTGATACTCGAGTTCCTTCAAAACCCTGAGGAACACCAAACTCAACCACCTAATGGTCTTCAACAATAATCTTGTCATCAGCATCCAATAAATGCCCAATCCCCAATGAAATCAAATGGAACGTCTTCGCTCCCCCCTTTAAAGACTTGGATAATTTAATGGAGTCAATTTAGAGTCTGTTCCAAATATTCCACTTGTGTAGCAGTACGCCGTATTTAATGAGTCCTTTGTGGTACTTGGATGGTTTGATCATTAAATTTGATACCTAAAAGAAAGTTGTTTTTTTCGTTTATGGGAATATATTTTTTATCATGAATTAAAAATATACGTAAAGATGATCATCCTTTATCTTTCTTCATCTTTTGTAGTCTATCATCACTCGGATGATCATACGTACACATTTTATAAATTCACTATAAAGTTACCTTTCATAATCTTATATAAACGAAAAAAAAATTTTTTCTGTTAAATACCAAGTTCTATTATGTAAACACTCAAATGCCATAAGGGACTCATTAATCAATCCTTCATGGATAAATGAATACATTTCAATAGTAAAGTGGACAGCTGCATATCCAATTTAAAAACGTAATTGAAAATAAACATTATAATTTTAATTCAATATTTTTTACTCAAAAATATTTTATGATAAATATTTTGTCATTTTGTAACATTTATTATTATGTGTTGCTAAATTAGATTTATTTTAATGTTTTGACGATTTTCTTCCATTAATAGATATCTTACAAATATTTTAAGATTTAGAGAGTACGATTGCGACGAAAAAATATTTCGTGACTCAAATTCTTATTTCTTTAATATTGTTGTTACGTTTATTGTAGTCATGCAACGCACTTAATTAAAAAAAACTTATAATTTATTGTAAATAGAGTACATTTATTAAACATAAATTGATTTCGACCAAGAATGTTGTGATCTAGCCTAACCTAAAATTATTTTGAAAGCTAAAGTTTGTTTGTTTGTTTTTTGAATTTCGCGCAAAGCTACACGAGAGCTATCTGCGCTAGCCGTCCCTAATTTAGCAGTGTAAGACTAGAGGGAAGGCAGCTAGTCATCACCACCCACCGCCAACTCTTGGGCTACTCTTTTTACCAACGAATAGTGGTATAACGCCCCCACGGCTGAAAGGGCGAGCAAGTTTGGTGGGACGGGGATTCGAACCCGATACCATTTGGTAATTTGTTCTACGTTTAATGCAATTTCGTTACGTATTTCTACTATGAGGAGAAAAAAAATCAAGGGATATCAGTAACCTCTTCCCGGTCCGGATAGGATTTAAGAATGGCGT